GTATTTAACCTTTCGCCTAACAGGATTTGAAGCCGGGACCTTAGGATCTGCAGGCATTCATTAGACCAATGGGGCAGTTAAATTAGCTTCATCATTTTTTTATCTTATCGGCCTTTAGCGCGCATCTAGCTTAAATTTGATTAACATTTTGCGAAAGTTACACAGATTAAACTGTTAGTAAAAATTTTCAATCATAATTATTACATTCGTTTGACAAAAATTTCGTAGATTTTATCAAAAGTAAAAAAATCGTTGATAAACATTTACAATCCCATAATATATTAATAATTAAAAAAAGGGTGATCAAATTATACCAACTTGTAGCTAATTCCAGACACATTTATGTGTCTATTTTATTGATACACGAGTAGGTCAAAAATTAACTATGTTTTATGCGGGATTCAAACTTAGTACTTTTTTATTAATATGTTAAATTATGGATACACTAAAAAATAAATAATCTACATAAAGCACTCAATTGGGTCGTGGCCCATGGGTTCAATTCCCTCCGGGTCAAACATATATCAAAAAACACGTTAGACTTTTAAATAAAACACTTGAACGGTTTAAAACGCGATATATATTTAGTTAAACATATCTGAAAATTATTATAACTACGGCCCGAAGTTTCGGATGCTTTGCAGCAGGCGTGGTCACGAAGACGGAGGGTGTCTCTGACGCCAAAGTAGAAACTGCTACGCTACCGCCATCTGTTTCGTCGAAGTTAGAGTGTTTTATGTGTACTATTCGCGTAAGCTACAGACAGTATCTGTTCCAATATGTTAGGTATTTTTAGATAGATTTATCACAAAGCAGGTAAGGCCTCTTCGGTTCAGGGCGCTCGTCTCGAGGACTCACTTGATCAACCCTCGCCTTCCAAGGTATTGTCTATGACTAGGGCTGTCACAAGTCACTGCCACAGATGTCCACAATACATCATCTGGCATACACAAAGTTCTAACCGACAGAAATGCCTAAGTCCCGCTTTACTACGCAACGGGGCAGATATAAATGCGTCTGTCTATTTATCTATACCAATATATAAAGCTGAAGAGTTTGTTTATATGTTTGAACGCGCTAATCTGAGGAACTACCGATTCGAATTGAATTTTTTTTTTTTTGTTGGTTAGAAAATTTATCGAGGAAGGATCTATGCTATAAAACATTGCCCTGTGACTAATACAAGCGAAGATACAGCGAGAAATGTGAAAACAATAGGAAAATTATTTATCATTATAGGTTTTCGAGGCGTACGTTGCAAAAACGGTTCAAGATACCCAAAAAATATGTATGACAGAATGTTTTCTCTTTAAATGATCTAAAAAAATGTCTGCGACAGTATAAGTCTATCTCTTAAGATTAACTTGCAAGAACGACTGGACGCATCGACGTCGTGGCTAACAGTTATGACTTATAAAGATGGAGAGAAGGTTTCGACGCGGACGAAGTCGCTGTCACAGCTAGCACTAGACACAGACAGCAGCAGACAACAAATACAACATACTAACCTCAGTCTGTCGTTTACGCGGGTTGCACACCTTTTAAAAAAATATTTTAACGGCTTAAAACTTCATTTATATTCGTCAGCTTTCTGTATTATAGAGGAGGATATAGAAGCATTCGGTTCACACAGATATAAGGTGCTCAAGCTCAACAACATACGCTGTCAAACTATTTTGACTTTGGATGTTTGGAAATCTTTTCATCTGTGGGCAATGGTTCACAACACGGAGGGTTGTTCAATTCGGAAGACCCAATATATTTCAGAAAAATTACATATTGATTAAAAACATATCGAATCCACGTCTCATTGGTTATTAGCCATACCTCGCTATCATTGGACCAACGAGCCATCTGAAATGTTTTGAATGCTTCCAGCAGCTGTAGTTCCTGTAGTTCCAGAACCTGGGTTGCCGCAACAGAAGTTCTGAATAAGGATATTGTCTTTATTGGTTTCCAAAACATCTGTGACAACCCTAGCAGTAAGCAATGAGCATCTATGTTTAAAATTCTTCAATTATTGTCATTTCTTAGATTAATAGATAATCTTTTAGAAATATATGCAGTGTTTTTTGCCTATTGGGGTATGGGGCCAACTCAATTCTATGACCGCTTCGTTGTTCAATAAGCCTGTCATAGATAGCTTAAAAATCTATTTGGATTAAGAAATTACGACTCCAACCGATTGAGCTACTGTGTCTTACAAGTAATCGATACGATCGCGTTAAGTAATTTCTACCTTAACAAATATGTATTAATAATGGCGCTTTTTTAAATTAAAACTAATCTATACTAATATATAAAGCTGGAGAGTTTGTTTGTTTGAACGCGCTAATCTCAGGAACTACGGGTTAGAATTGAATAATTAGTTTTGTGTTGGTTAGAGCATTTATCAAACGAAGGCTTTAGGCTTTAAAACATCGCGCTGTGACTAATAGAAGAGAAGATACAGCGGGAAATGGGAACAAAACGGGGGAAATATTTCATCTCTGTGGATTTCAGATGCGTACGCTGCGAAAACGGTTCAAGATACTTAGAAAATATGTAGTCAAGAATGATTCCCCTTTAAATTATCTAAAAAAAAGTCCGCGACGCTATATGTCTATCTTTTAAGATTAACTTGCAAGAACGACGGGAAAGAATGCGACCGACGTCGTGGGTAACAGCTTATCTTTATAAAGATGACGGGGTATGCAAAAACTAATTTGGATGCCCAAAATAACGATTCTTGCGGACGAAGTCGCTGGCACAGCTAGTAAACAATAAATATCAGTACAATAAAAAAAGCTTCACTTAAAATTAAAGAAAAATAATACAAAAGGGTCTTGCGTCAGCATAAGTTGCAGCACAGCCATTCTACAATACTGATTTTCAGCAAAACTTTGCTGTTTATCTTAATTTTGAAAAAATGTAAATTACTTGTTAATTTTTAAGGCGCTGCGGCCATTTTGTAAAGCTTGTGTTTCCGTGCTATTCGGTTCGTAGTTGAGAAATTTGTTACACCATTACAAGTCAACATGATGTTGAGCTGTTTGACTGAGCGAAGTAAAAAAATCTCTGTTTACATAATAATAATAATAATAATAAACTCTTTATTGCACAAACATTTACATAAAACTGGATACATAGAATTACATATACAAAATAAAACATTTTGTGAAAGGCGCCTTATCGCCTCCACTGGGGGGGGGGTTCCTCCAGGCCACCTTTGGGGGGGGAAAAAAAAAAAAAAAAAAAAATTTTGGGAAAAAAAAAAAAAGACAAAAAAAAAAAAAAAATTAAAAAAAAAAAAGAAAAAAAAAACTGGAAATTAACACCAAATTACTAAAGGGGGGGGGGGGGGGGGGGGGCTAAACATACTTAATAGATAAAATTACACACTTAAAACCTAGAGAAGCATATGAAGACCCTAAATGTGATTAATTCTAAAGCCAATGAGGCCAAGGCTAAACAGCATTACCAAGAAAGTATTGCTTGACCCTGACCTTAAATATAGTGTGACTCTGTGACAGTCTGACTGTAAGTGGTAGCTCATTCATAGGCGGACAGCCTGTACCGAAAAAAGAAAGAGTCATAAAACTTTGACGAGTGGATCGGCATGGAGAGAAGGCGGTTGTTAGTAGAGCGAAGGTCCAGTTCATGGGAGGAACCCATAAATATAAATCTCTGCTTTAGGTAGGAAGGAGTGCGCGGATCAAAAAGGATAGAGAAAAGAAGACAAAGGATGTGAGTATTGCGACGAAGTCTTATGGGGAGCCATTTAAGTTTTGAGCGGAACTCTGAGACATGGTCGTACTTCCTGAGACCGTAGATAAAACGAATAGCAAAGTTTTGGAGTCTCTCTAATTTATTAAGCTGCTCTCCTGTTACGTCTAGGTAGCAGACGTCGGCATAATCAAGAACAGAGAGCAACAGCGATTGGAAGTAGTGTTTGGTGGGATGGCAGGAAATTTGTAAAGTCGAAGCATGCCCGCAACTCCATACACCTTTCTGCTGACCTCCTGTATTTGTTTATTCCATGACATGGAACTATCGATATGAATCCCCAAACTCTTCACTGTTTTACAAAACGGAATTTGGGCACCGTTGATCAAAATAGAGGGAATGTTACTCCAATCTATGCATATCACAACTTAAAAGAAGTTTAACATAGATGTGAAAATATTTGAGTCGAAAAGAATGTAGGTCAAAGCGAAAGAACGATATTAAAACACGAAGAAGTGCATCTAATTTGAAACACGAAACAGCATATGTCAGGCCGCTTGAGGCAGAGTAGCCTAACTGCAAATTGTTAACATAACTCTTACACAAATTAATTTTCACCTAAGTTAATTGCGCACTTTTTTCTTCCATATTAAAAGTCATGTTTTGTTATTAGGCCATTCTGCTTCTAGCACCCTTATATGAGGTGGTTAAAAATTACTGTCGGCTAGTAGTTAGTAGTAAGTTTTCTCACCAGTTCTTCTCATTTATTCTACTCAATTTGACTGATCGTACCCAACAAATAAAATTTGCACCCTTATACTTTGCTGTGTACATAGAAAACATAAAACTGTTTAATACACGAAATATATTAGTTGATTTACAGTTTATATAAAGCCCTCCTAAGCGTAGCGACATATAATAGTTAATTTATTTACGGTTTAACACGACATATATAAGTTATCTTATTTTTAATTTAATTCTTGTGTTACTCCCCCGTGACCACGTCTGCTATTAATTTAATTAATACTATTAAGTTTTATTAAAGTTATTAAGTATAGCCTAGTGACAGACGAATGAGCATACATACAACAAATTAAGTCTGTAGTTTACGCGAGTAGTATCCATTTAAATAAATCGCTTTTAACGTTACGGTTTAGAACGGCCCCACGCGATCATCCGAGACACACCCGACGAATATAAATCGCGTTTCAAACCGTTAAAAGTCGTTTTGTTCAGAGTGAACTAGTCGCGCCCGAAGTTTGTATATAATACCTAATACGATAAAAGACCGCAATATGCCCACTCGCAGATCGCAAACAACGCGACAAATATCCCCGCCCCCCGTGGCCATTCTTCAGTCCTACACATGGCGACCGCATTGTGCCGAGAACAATGCAGAACGAGAGAGCGCAGAGGATTCAAGAACCAAGTTCCACTTGCATCTGAAACTTGAATGGAATTACATTCCTTCAGTGAACTTTAAAAGTATTTTTTAATAACGCACAATGGCGCTGCAGATGGAGACGTACCTCCGCTAGATAGGCCGATTTTTATAGCTCAGTTTTCATTGTGAGCCGGCTTTAGTGCTTGAGGTCTGTCGCTATTGTCCAATTTTCTCGACCGTGAATATAGCGGTGGTCTAATTGTTCGCTTCGGCCTGTTAGTTTCCCACTGCTGGGCAACTGGGAAACTGGGTAGTTTAGACCCGCTTTTTTGTGATTGAGGTAGAGGTTAAATATCAGTCCTGTAACATGACAAGATGCGCTGTTGACCTTTTTGGCTTTGCATATCCGGAAATCACAGACAAACTGAACCACGATTAAACTTGACAACTTCTTCGTCTTGGACCGTTCGGGATTATGGAATGTAGATATTTCTACCGTTTATTGAATATCCAGATTTCCAGTCGAAGTCCAACACGTTTCCGAAAAATTATAAACGGATTAGCGACTTCGCCCGCGTGGAAAAGATAGTTTTGGCATCGAAATTTGTTTTTTTTTTCATAGTTATAAATTATAGATAATATATATATATATAATGCGCCACATAAGCGCTTAAAGCCGACTAATTTTCCCCGATTTTCCACATTTTCACAGCGTGATATTAACTTTTCAATTTGAACCAGTTGATCATGATTGTAGAGACTTTTGCTCTAGAAGGTTTCTTGACAAAATTCAAATACCAAGACCTCTTCTGCCGTCGAGCTGAATAACCACTGAACGAGGATGAACCCTAAAAACCCCAATAGACAATCTTTCTGTATTCGCGTATCGATCACGTAAAAAATACCTGGCTAAGTCTTAACAAACAGCAATAAATTGAACCTAACCTTCGCGTTGGACAGAGGGAAGATAAACCTGACATACATCAATCGGAATAGAGACAAAGCCTCTATTAGATGCATATGTAGCACAGGCTGCCACAGAATACATATTAGAACAGTAGGCCGGTTACACTTTTGGAATATTGGTTTTATTATACAGGTATGCATGAAATCCTCGATGGAAGAAGACCCCAGGCATTTAGTATCTAAACAAGATGCGCTGCCGGCATATTTCGACTTTGGCCTGAAACCGAAACGCGATTAATCTTTCCATTAGGTGTTCAGAAGGCGTTTGCATCTATGGATGGAGTGCTTCGTCATGACGGAATTTCGATATACCTACCACCCATTCAATATTCACTATTAGCCATACATCGCCATTAAACCAACGTCTTAAATTACATTCGTAACTAGCGACACGCCCCGGCGTCGCTCGGGTGCAATGCTGATACTAAATACGCTACAGAAAAACTGTGACCATTGTATATAAACTTTCCTCTTGAATAAATCTATCTATTAAAAAACCGCATCAAAATCCGTTGAGTATTTTTAAAGATTTAAGCGTACATATGGACAGAAAAAATGACTTTTTTATACTATGTAGCGAAGTAAGTGTATTATTGTATTTAATTAAAATACTTTAACGGCTTAAAACGCGATGTATTAGTTAAACTTATTTTATTTGTCTCCCCGTGACCACGGCTGCTGCAAAGCATCCGAAACTAATATATCGCATTTTTAACCGTTAAAGTATTTTATTTAAATGTGTACTACTCACTTAAACTATAGACAGTATTATATTATTGTAATTTTGTGCTATTTCTAAACACACGTATTCTTTATCTATAATGACTATAAGCGTGAAAAGAGGTTATAAGAAAATTAGGATCGATTCATCTAACGAGTCGGGCCCGACAAGGTGCACTCGCCACCGTCTGATGGATGACAAATGGCTTTTTGATCCCTCACCATATTTCCACCATATTTAAAACGGGGCGAAGCACGTACCTGCAGTATAGAATCATTAGGAAAATCACACTACGCCCTACTACATATCTTAAATACTCCTTCTGACGAACTTTTAATCGAAATTTATTTATGCAATACCCCGATCGACACCATATCTTTCGTTTAAATAAAACACTTTAACGGTTTAAAACGCGATATATTAGTTTAACTAATATATCGTATAAATATTTGAATGCGTACAATCGAGTACACTTTAGACCATATCTTTCGTCTAACTCCGTTTTTCTCGGCTTTATCTCATTAATATTTGTTATTGACTAACCCACAATAAACATGACATTACTGTCAAATTTCTACTAGTCGATTTGACGTAACATTTTTCCACGTTCCTTAGTTAGTTATACTTATGTTACAAAGCTGAGGAGTTTGTTTGTTTGTTTGTTTGAGCTCTCTAACCTCAGGAACTAATGGTTCGAATAGAACATAAATTGAAAAATTGTTTATGTGTCACGCTGTAACCAATAGGAGCGACGAAACGGGGGGGGGGGGGGGGATGTAGAAAAAGTGTCATCATTATTATCTTTAAGGACTTGATTCACCTTAAATAATCTAATAATGAAGTTGATGTCTAGCCTCCAAGATAACAAGAATGAGATATGTCCGGCGTCCAAGATAGCTAAGAACGAGGATATATTATAAAGCTAATTCTACGCGGACGAGGTCGCTGACAGAGCTAGTATGGCAACAAACGATTATTTTCTGATACAAAAAGTATTTTTGAAACATACAACCAAAAAGCAATTAACGATAATAACATCTTAATTAAATATATTTTTCTGTGTCGAGGGCGTAAGAGCTGGATTTTTTTAGTCAGTTCGACAATTTGTCAAATTTAATTACAACGGAATTACTAATTAGCTAAGATAAATGTGTTCAACGCCATCGTTAACAAGAAAGTGGCAATTCTTGTTTAATACTTACATTTATTTTGTTTCTACAATGCGAGGAATAACATAATTTAAATAACAACGGTTTAAAACGCGAAATACATTACTTAACTTATTTTAAAAATCGAAAGTAAATTGAAAAATTTCGACTCGAGCGGGACTTGAACCGGCATCGTCAGCGTTCCGTGTTGTTGCTCTACCAAGTGAGTCCTACACCTCATCGTTGAATTTTACAGGTCGCCGGTTCAAGCCCTGCCCGAGTCAAAAATTTTTTCAATTTATTTTCGATTTTTAAGGTATACACATATTTAAATTATAAGCAAAGCAAAATGGCTAATTAAAACGACCATGAATCACTAAATTAGATAAAAATTGTATTGCGCGTCCTATATGTTAATGACCGTTGTCTATCTCGCTGTGTCAGGAGCCGCTGCGAGCGTTCAGTGTTAGTGTCCCGTGCACGCGTTCGCGAATTCCTATCTTTATTTCCTTTAAGTCGCTGCGACGATCTTGCATTTTGTTCTGCAAGACGAACCTGAACATTCGACGATAGATTCTCTGGCTTGCGATTGGGACGCGTACACTATAATACTTTCCAGATGATCATTTTAGGAAGAAGACTCTCCGATAACGACAAACTTTTGCTAATCTCGCTTGGGGACTATTCTTAGGTATTTATTTAAAATTAGAGAAATTAAGAATAAATAAATAATAACACAAAAGAAAATATTCAAGTTCAAAGCGATACTAAAAACTAAGTAGCTCTGAAAATAACTTTTTAAGTGAAGCATAAAAATGTTAAAAAAAAACTCGATATATTCAATGTCGTTCGCGCCCATTGCGTAAGGTGCCGACCCCACTGCCCCTCTATCGTCGAATTAGTGACTCGATGCGCGGCGTGGCGGCCGCCGCCGGGTTATATTTTTATATTAATTCCATGAAAGTTAAAATCATTTTTAAATAATCTCAACTAATATATTGCGTTTTAAACAGTTCTATTTAAATGATATTAATCTTGCAAACAACAAAACAAAACGTTTGAATCAACTAGTATTATACTACACTTGATTAAAGCAGCTGTTTACCTCGAATCCGTATCCCAGTATGTGAAAACAGCAGGTTACAACGACGCAAAATTTGTTATTCTATTTTTATTAGGCGACCGTGCTTCCCCTATCTCGGTATCGTATAATTTTTAAGCCAGTAACAAACCTTTAGTATTCGGTACTAAGTAACGAGTAACGAAACACGGGACACGATTCCGTTACTCGCATTTGGTTGTTGGCATAGGTTAGGTTAGGTCGTGTCCGTGAGTAAAATAACAATTATAGTAAGTTTTAGTATCGTTTATAATATTTACAGTACTAAGATCGAAACACGTTGGTATAAAAAAGTAGGTAGCTTGATCAAAGGTATACTTTAAAAATAGATTTTTTATGTGTCTTGAAATGTCAAGTACGCAATACGTTAAAGTGAGTGAAAATCCACTTTCTGTAGCTTTGTATAACACTTGATGTATATACATAGTAGATAAGGTAATAAATGGCTGTTAGGTACAGACTGGCCTAATAACAAAAAACATGATTTTCAACGAAGAAAATAAAAATACACAATTAACTTAGCCGAAAATAATTTTGTATTATTTGTGTAAGTTTTTGTGTTAACTATTTTCGGTCACTGTGCTCTCGTAGATTATCATGCAGTTAGGCTACTCTGCCTCTAGCAGCCTAAAATGATCTCAAATTACGATTATCAACAGAAAAACTATAATTATACTTTTGTGCTTCAGAATTCACGAGTAACGTAGCGATGTGAAAGTAACGGGTATTCATTGCACTAGTAACGAACACATACGGGTACGCTTTATTTCGTTACTTTTACATCTCTAATAATTCTCACTTAAGCGGATAGAATCTGGCGTTGCCACTTTCCTGTTGCTATATTAAATGCCTCGGCGAAGGCCGCTTAACGAATTCTCAAGATTCCATAGGATGTGGTGTTTTGGGGAATTTCTCCTTTTTAATTATACAACCTTTGTTATAGAGAGATAGAGTTTTCATCGTAAAAACGCTTTGAGATTTAGAAGCGTTTCTTTTAATAGGCCTGCTACGGAAAATCCGCAATTTCCGTTATTTAGAATCCATTCTTATATTATGTTTATAATATAATATCTTCTGATCGCACTTAGTGGCGTGTAAGTGAAACATTACACATCTTTCGCTTTGTGTTTCTTAGGCTTAGTATCTTTTATTCTTGTTTTATATGTAATTGTTTATTCGTTATATCCGAGGCCATGACTCTATAAATCAACTTTTGGAACAATATTTTAAGCTTCGTTTGAATAATCTGGACATTTTCGGTGTGAGTTTAATCACCACTACAGACAGACATTAAAGATATTTTTTTTTATATCTCTTAAGAAATTTTAGTTAATCGTAAAGATAAGGCAGACTTACTGTTATTCCAATATATAGCACAAGATCTACAAAATATTTTAAACAGTTTAAACTGATAAATATTAAAATAACTTTTTTATTTTCGTTTTCGAAATTTGTAACTCCGCAGACTGAAACCGAAAAATCACAGCTTACTCGAGGTTAACGGTTTAAAACACGATATATTAGCTAAACTAATATATCGCGTGGTCACGGGGAGACTCCTGCTGGTGGTGACGGCTGCTGCAAAGCATCGAAACGTCGGGCCGAAGTCAAAAATCATTTACAATAAGTTTAACTAATATATCGTGTTTTAAACCGTCAAAGTGTTTTATTTAAATGTGTACCTACTACTCGCGTAAACTATAGGCAGTATTTAACATTACCTATATAATTCGCGTTTTAAACCGTTATTTTTGTTAATTATGTCACTTTTACTATAACCGATGCTACATAGAGATGAAAGATATTCCTACGCGAATCAATCTTCAAAGAATCGTGACGTCACCGCCTATCTGCGCAAGTCTGGAACGCTGGG